CAACCCAGTTGCAGTCCTCTTAGACTTGGTCGAGAAGGTCACCGGTGATTGTGCATATGTACCTCGACATTGGTTCGCATCGGCCCGCAACCGAGGGGGTTTTCAGCCTTGAAGTCGGAGTCAAGGACGTACCCTCCGAGAACGAATTCTTCAGGGCGTGGCTCCCCGCTGGTTGCTCGCCGGCCGGCTGAGACGAGGAAGCTTTTTCTTTCTGCGGAACGATTTTACATGTTTTGGCCATTTTGTTTTTGTGAACAAGGGAGAATAGAGATTGGGATATTTGGTGTTTTGGGAAAAACAAACAAAGAAACTCAAAAAAGCTTGAAGGTGAAAGGTTCTGTAGAAGGCAAAGGAATATGAAGATTAAAAGTAAAAGTTTGGGTAAGAGAAGGAAGATACATTTATAAGTTGAAGACGACGGTTCAGAACCAATAGAGGCCGACAACAACTGACAGGCATTAAATGCCTCGACATCCGAACCGACGGGACGTTTCGATGCCCACTTGTCGCTGACGTCATGGTCGGGCTGTCACTTACGTCATGGAAAACCGAGGAGAAATTTGAAGACTCAATTCGTTTCTTGTCATCGCACTCCAAAAAACAAGGGGACTATCTGTATACGTTCAAAATCAGGCTGGCATAATTTTGTATGACTAACCAAAATCGGGGTGGCAGATCAAGGCTCGGTCTCGATTATATCAAACCATGGTACGAAGATGGATTGATGAGCTCGTGGATCAATGGCCGATCAAGATCGAGACCAGCCGGGATCGAGACCAAAGCGAGAAAGAGATCGAAGGGAGCCTGCTAAGTCTAATAACTGAAAGCCGAGATATCCATGGTCGGGCAAGGATCGTGGCAGAAATCTCAGCACGTATCAAGCCAGGACCGATTATTTAGTCTATCATGGGATTTGCTTCTGTAATTAGAATTTTACCATAAATGGAATTTCTCTAATATATAAAGAGGGTCCTGATCATTCTGTAACCAACATACATTCACGCATAACAAGGAAATATATTATATTTTTTATATTGCAACTCTGTTGTTCAGTTCATACTTTTCAATAGCATACTCGGTTGGTTCGAGGGCGGTTTAGCTCGAGGGCCACAATTGTTCATCATATTGGTTTGCTCTATTTACTGTTAATTTCTAACATTAATTCCCATATTTATCAGTTTGTGCCAAGTGAAATCACATATCCTTAAAACCACTTATAAGTTTAATTGTTATCCGATTTTAAGGGTAAACAATAATCAACTAAATAGTGTTCAGTAAGTGTTTGATTAATTTGTGTACGCTTCGACTATTCCAAAGATATAAGTTGATAATAATACTTGCTCTTTATATAGTGATACTTTGTTTCTATTTGTCATCTCTTCAGAAAATATATATACGAAACAATGGTGTAGATCTAGAGATAATTTATTAAGTAAAATTCGTTTTCTTTTTCTCTTACGTTTAAGTATAAAGGAGCAGGTAATGCACGCCGAATGGCTTATGCCGAGCTAAATCCAAACGGAAGTTTCTTCATTACTTGGACTGCACAGTGACTTGTGGTAGTGGCTTCTTTTTCGTCAATTTTCACTAAATTGAATTCTGGTGTGTTTTTTCCTTAGAAACACCAGCTTTTCGAAGGTCAAAGATAAGAGGAACCAAACTTTTTAGATGAAAATCTAAACTACATAAGGAACCAATTAAAGGTGAGAATTTAGGAAACTCCAGTTAATATTATGTTCCAGCCTTCATCTGTTTATTTGTTCTAAGGTGTACTTACTACGTGCTGATAAGCTTATATTCATGAGATATAGAGAAGAATAACATTTTCTGAAGAGTATGTATGGAAATTGACAAGAGACTTGGCAATGTTCAAACAGATCATACTGAATTACTGATCACCTGAACACTATCTGATAAGCACGAGAACATATGGCATGCCCAGTCTACGAAATCAAACCATCAACTGTTTTTCAATCCCAAATTAACCTATTCTAGATCTATTAGCAGATTGAAAAATCTTTAAGGTAAAATTCTTTTGAAAAAAAGGAAGAAGATTATTCTAGTGGTATACATGCAAAATGCTCTGAACAACCTGTCTAGTGGGTACAGGGACTACTTGTACAAGTGACGCATCAGCAAAGAGACATTCATGCTTTCGAAGTTTATTCTTTTCGTCCTATACTTTGTGCCATTGCTAGTGCATTTCGATCGAAGTCTAATTCAGGGCAATCTCTTTTGCCTTCCTCTGTCATTTCAAATGAATGAGACCAATCCATGATTTGAAGATACTTAGGGCAACAGTCAAAGATTACAGCTTCAAATGCAAGAGGATCCAAGGACAAGTGTACACTGAAGTGCTTTGTGTCACAGTCAAGATACATTATGCACTCAAGAGCATGTGCCTAATGAAGTTTGGAAAGAAAATCATGGAAAACCAAGACTCAATTCCAATAGAAGAAAAATAAAACAGCTAGGTTAATTTATACTAGTGACAGAGATTGCTCAAAATTTATACTAGTGATACTGGTTAGATGACTGGGTAATGAAGGTACCTGGTGAAATAGTGAAGGTGTGTGCAAGTTGGTCCGAAAACCAATTCACCACAAAAAAGGAAACACGAATAGAAAAAAAAAACAAAGATACATGATATCTTCAGAAGTTTCAATTAAGGCAGAATACATAGCTGGCCCCCTAAACTTGGCCATATTTTTCACCTAGACACCTAAACTAAGGATAGTTCCTATTAAACACCTAAAGTGAAGACAAATTGTGCCAATTAGACACAAAATTTGCAGCTTCAAACAACAAAGATGCGTGTATATCACTTGCTCCCGGCATACTTAACCAATAATAGTAAAACTCGTGAAAAAAGAAGTAAAATGGAAAAAATAAGAAACGAAAGGAAAGGAAAACAGTGATGAAAAATTGAAAACCCCCTCTCTCTTTAACCCATTCTTCCCTAAATTTCAATAGATTGTTATACTTCTTTATGCTTTTCTCCGAGTGATAACTTTGATTAAGAATTTATGTATACCAACGATACAAATTTAAGCATAAACAATAAATTATTTGAAATCATCAAAATTTTCTTAAGGGAATTCTTCACCATTAGGACCTTATAACAAAAACGCAACGCTCAAATTTTTAGAGAGAACCCATCTCGCTCTTCATGCTCTTCTTCTTTTTTTAAAAAAAATCTAATAATAGTAATGTTCTGGGTTGAAGTGTTGGATCTTGTTTTGGTGGTGGAGGTGGTGGCGTGTTATTTGAGATTGTAATAATTTTGGTGGTGGAGGTGGAGACCCAGAAGTCATGGTCTCGCAGTGGTACTGTGGTGGCAATGCGACAGAGTATGGGAGGAGTTGGAATGGAGAATAATAGAAGAAAATGGAAGTAAATCTGTTCTATCGTCTTCTCATTGAATATTAAGTGACAAAACTGACTATAATTTTTTGGTAACTAGAATTGAATTTGAACGTTAGAGTTGGTAGCACAGTGATGGAGCAACAACTATGGTGGGGGAGATGATGCCAATTGAAAGTAGGAAGAAGGAGATTGAAGAAAAATTGGAAAAGAAATAGGGAAAAAAATCTCACGCGCCTCAACCGTTGTGTGCTACACACACTGTGCCATGTCAGCATCATGTGTCTAATAGACACAATTTGTCTTCACTTTAGGTGTTCGACAGGAATTATCCTTAGTTTAGGTGTCTAGGTGAAAAATATGGCCAAGTTTAGGGTGCCACCTATGTATTCTGCCTTCAATTAAATAGGGAACTGCTAGATAGACAGTATAAACCATGGTAAAAGCAAAGGATTTCAAGGAGGAACAACTGAAAGTTGATTCAGGGGACTAAGTCCACTAATTCAGTTCACACAATGTTGTACAGAAGGAGCAGTAGAAGTCAGCTGAACTACTAGATATAATGTGTGATTGATTAAACGTGATCAGCTATGGGGAAATTGACAGAGGAACTACCAAAAACTGGATCATGGTCTAAATATTTCGTTGCAACGAATCCATAACTTGATTAGGAGGCTTTCACTATAGGCAAGCAAATAGGATCACATAGATCAATGGCCGAAAGCTAGTCTTTTTAGTCACAAATGATGGGTTGAATATTAAAGTTTTGATGATTGACAAAGTATGGCTAAATGTTCAAAGAACCAGGTCCTCAACGTAGCTGCTTAACTATTCTGAAGAACCTGCCCTCAGGAGAGAGAATCAGCTCCCCCTGAGTGATACTTGTACGTCTGCACAAGACAGTAATTTTATCTCAAAGTTACCAGGTCCGAGTTTGGTGGACGATGGTTACTATAAGTGATAAGGGTCGTTGCTCAAACAGATATGGATAATTCAGTCAGACTAAAGTCTCAAAGCGTGTGGAATCCTTGGAACAGTAGGAGTCCTATCAAAGAGGAAGCTGACCTTGAATAGGACTCCTTGAAGATCTCAAGTCGTGTTTAAATAGGATTGACTTTGGACTTCTAAACTATCCTTTTGCACATCAATTAAGAGTCATAATTTTTTCACTTGTGCTGAGTACTTGCATCGTATTCTTCCCAAGTCAGTCCAGTGAATATGTTTTAGGTAATTAAGTTGTAATCAAGTGTCATAAACAATCAGTGAGTTAGAGTTAGTATTTTGCTTTACAAGTTAGAGTAACTTTTGAATCAAATAGGAGTAGTTGGAGTACTGGAAAGTATTTAATTACAGTCCTCTAATTGACATTTTGGGTCAGTATTTTAGTGGAGTTGGAGCTGAAAATCCTACGTGGTAGGTCGTGGTTTTTGCACTTTTTGAGCCGGGTGATTTTCCACGTAAAATCGTTGTGTTCATTTTATTGCTCGTTTACTTTACTTTAACGAATACGGTAAAGAACCAAGTTCTTCGGTAATTTATTCGGGCACTCAAACTAACACGATGAAGTGCCTCCAACTGAATCATATAAATCTAACAAAAGTATCATTGCCGAAAATGTACCTGTTGATACAACAATATCACCCAAAAATATTCTAGATAATAATTTCATCTTCCTTCAATACACTTAAGCCACATATAAACAACTGAAGAAACTTGTAAAAACATTTCTCCATTGCCTATATACAAAATATAACTAGAAACATCAAACTCAGTTTAGATATCTAAAACAAAATCTATCAGTTATATCAACATATGTTGAACATATTTCAGTCCTGAAAACCTGTTTGGCGCCACACGGCATTGCGAACCTGACGAAGATCCCTCCCTTTGAGAGTTCTTCCGACGCCTTCCAGCATCGAGAACGTGGTTCTAGGAGATCGCATTGATCCTCGTGCCACCATCTCGTGCGGCGGCAACATCTCATCATCGGCATCATCCTCGTCAATTTCAATATCAGCAAGATCGCCGTTCCTCGGTGCCTTCTTCGGCATCATCGGAACATTCACCGGAGCCGAGTGCTGGAACTTCCTCGCCGGCATGGATTTTGAGTGGTTAAAATTATCCGATGGAGGCTTAGGAATCAAAGGTATTGCACGTGAAAACGCTATCACTGTAGAAGGCGAAGCTGAAATCGGCGCCGTACCGGAAGGCGAGGAAGTGATTGAAGACTTCCGACGGAGAACAGGAAGGTCAGTTTTCCGGTGATCCTCCGATAATGCAGCGAGAATACCAAACTTATCATGCTTAAGGAAGGACTGACGGCGACTATTTTGTGAAGGAGAAGTAGAGCGGCGTTGAGATTCAGTGAAGTCTCTTCCAGTCCAGAACACGTCATCTTCGTTGAGCTCATCATCATCGGCGACCGATGAATCTATCCCGCCGCCAAGAGCAGCATCACTCTGCGGCGGAGAGAACACGCCGAGGAACCGATCGGACGAGGGAGATTGACGGTGGCGGAAGCTAACGACGCCGTTTTGATCCATTGGTGATTTGGTGGTCACGCGAAAAAGCTCTTTTGGTCGTTGCGTATGTGGAACGTTACTGATACAATACAATCTTCTAAAACCAAAGAGATTTTTTGAATTCATATTGGTCCCACTTTCTCTTTTGGACTCTTATCTGACGGTTCACAATAACTCTAGTAGGACTCACTAGTTATTTAACGGTGGATGTTCTAGCAGCTGGGGCCAAGACGTGGCGGTAGGACGCAGAGAGTTCTATTCAACTGGATCCGGCACACGTCATAATCTATCCTTTTCACGGGAGCTAAGGATAGGAATATCCAGCCCTTTAAATTTGTTAAAATCTTTATCTAGCTAATACGTAGTAGCTGTTATAAAATAAAGACGGTAAAGTAAAGACATAGAGAGAAACTGATATATTATTCGAATCCTAAACTGATGTATATAATGAACTGAAATCTCCTCTATTTATAGAAGAAAGGAAGCTGCTGTGTAAGCTGTTTGTATGCTGCTACTGCAAGTTGGTGTGTAAGCTGCTACAGCAAGCTGCTGTGTAAGCTGCTACTGCAAGCTGCTTGTAAGTTGCTTGTAAGCTGCTTCTGTACCAGATATAGATAATCTTCTGCCGGGAGTAATCTTTATCCATAACGGAGTACCGAAATGATAAGCTTCTTCAGGAAGCTTATTTACAACGGAGTACTAAATGAACATCCATAATATAATATATATTTATAACACTCCCCCTTGGATGTTCATTAAAAGATAATGTGCCTCATTAAAAACCTTATAAGAAAAACCCCGTGGGAAAAATCCTTAGTAAGGAAAAAAGAGTGCGTCACGTATTTTACTCCCCCTGATGAAAACCTTGTTTCAAATATTTGAATCTCCGCATTTCAATCTTGTATACCATCTTCTCAAAAAAATTGAGTTTGTAGAGAATATTATCCATCACTATTTCAGATCGATTTAAATTATTCTCATCAAACCAAGAAGCTGGTACAAGTCATTTCATTGAGTTCCTTGTAACTTACCTGCATCAGCTGCTTGTAGAAAACTTCAATGGAGTACTAAATGGATAATCTTCTTCAGGAAGATTATCTACAGCGGAGTAATAAATGGACATCCACAAAAATATTTTCAAAGCATTCCTCTTTGGATGTTCATTATTATGTGCCTCGTTAAAACTTTACTAGGAAAAACCTCGTGGAAAAAAATCCTAGTCAAGGAAAAAGAGTACACTAATAATATACATTGCAAGCTGCCTCATTAAATACCTTACCAGGAAAAACTCAGTGGGAAAAAAACCCGAGCAAGGGAAAAAGAGTACAGTGCAGAGACTTGGGTATATCTTGATCAAGGAGTTCATCATCCTCTTCTGGAGGTAAGAACGGATCCCTAATCTGTGTAGGAGAAGAACTATATCTTGCTAGTAAATTAACAAAAATGCTATGGTAGGCTTGTAGCATTAGCAAGATACATTGGTGCACCAATTGCACTGAGATAGAGTACTTCGGGACCAAGGAGTTCCCCATCCTCTTCTGGAGGTCGGAACAAATCTTTATCCACTTCAATGGGTGCGCTTTGTCCATGTAAAAGCGTTTTAAGACACTTTCTGTATAGGCAGATTGATGGATAAAGATCATGTCCGCTAAATGTACAATTTGCAGACCAAGACAAAATTTTGTCTTTTCAAGATCTTTCATCTCAAATTCTTTCTTAAGATATTCAATTGCCTTTTGGAGCTCTTCTGGAGTTCCAACAAGATTTATGTCATTAACATAAACAGCAAGTATATCAAATTCTGAGTATATGGACAAATAACATTATATATGTAACTTTCTTTCAGCAAATATTCACTGAGGCGATAATACCACATACGCCCAGATTGCTTTAAACCGTACAAAGATCTTTATAATTTGATCGAGTACATTTCTCGAGACTTTGAACTATATGCTTCAGGGATCTTTATAGAGATTTAATCAAATGAGTCATATAGGTTATGACTCGCATTTAAATGGCATGAGATCTTCAGGTGTCTGGACTACTGGTCCGATCCTCACAGTATTGTGCACTATATTGTATCAAATATATCGTCGACGATCATTTTGTATCGGTTCGTAAGCGATATAACTTGTTGAGATCACATCACTTTCTTCATGTACCAGAACTTCTTCTGGAGTTTCATGAAATGTTATGTCGTGGGCTCTTCTAGAGCTCATTTCCTCCTCATTATGATCATTTTGATCATTAGCTCCTTATCATTTTTCAAGGATTGTTACCTTGGAACCGATTGGTCTACCACGCTTCATGCGTACAGTAAACTCTATCCTTCAGGGACTTTAATTTTAATAGGAGCATTTGTAGCTGGAATATGATATTGAATTTTGGATCAGCAAATGCTTCTGGCATTTGACTTGAATTATCTTCTAAGTGAGGATCATATTAATGATAATTCGATTCATATAGCATATTTTTCAGCTGTTTATTCCATCCCCCAAATGCTAGAAAACTAACATATATTTCCAATCTTCTTTGGGAAATATATCTTTGTGCGTTGTGGTAGAGAAATTAAGCATATACCACACATCAAAAGATAGTAAAAATATTTGGTTTCTGATCCTAAACCAATTGTGAGGGAGGACTTATCATATATTGTTGGTTTGATGCATACAAGTGCTGCTATATGCAATTTAGAAAATCTTAGACCAACACATGAAGCTTTGTTCTCATAAGCAATGGTTTAGCCATTAGTAGGAGGTATTCAATGCTAAACCAGTTTGGAAATAAACCAGCTTTATCAAGATGAACTGTCTTGATTTCGTAATCTGAAAGTTATGCTTTAATTGAGAAAAGCAATCTCAAATGCCAAACTGCAGGTTGACAATAAACATACATGTAACCATCTTATATATGCATCTATAAGTGGTTCACATGACATGTGAATGGGCCCATATTCACCTTTTATATATTTCAGAATCAGGGGTCTTAGTCCCAACTTTAGATGGTATAACCAATTTATTATGAGAACAAGTAGCACAAGAGAATTCTTGAAGAATCTTCTAGTTCTTCAGTATATCCGTATCTGAATTCTCAAATAGCTCATTTAAAAATGGCAAATGAAAACTTCAAGTTTATCATGGCATGTGCTATCTCTTAGTAAACTTCTGGTTTACTATGGCACAAACTTTTGCATAAGTAAACTTCTGGTTTACTATGGCTACTTTTGCATTAGTAAACTTATGGTTTACTCTGATACATGATATAGTACAAAATTGAAGAATAAGGCGGGTAACTTCTCATATACATATTACTTTACCCCCTATGATTGTGGAAACATGAAGATTTTCAATCTTCCAATCATTTGTGGTCTCAATATGATAGTCATTTGTATTAGTAAACTTCAGGTTTACTATAACATATGTTTTGACCATAATCATATAATATGAATGGCATATTTGTACATAAGCTCTTCGAGAGACTTCATTTATTATCCACAATTTAATATTTATCAACACTACTGGTGTAATTTGTCTTCTAGACAAACAGTTAGCTCTTCAGGAGTTGTTGATATATTTGTACTATCAAATATTACTCAGACACTTCTGGTATCATGAGAGAAAATCATAATAAAATGAACATTATAAAGACAATTCTAAATTTATAAATGTAAAAAAATTAAGAATTTTAGTATTTTTACCACCAACTTTGTGACAAATGTCTCCTTCAGGGAGAAACACTATTAACATCTGAATATTTTATATCAAAGCGGCAACCACATAATCATTACATCCTTCAGGGGAAGTTACATGAGTTGTTATTTCCTTCGGGGAACTCGATAACTAACCATAACATATTAATGTGGTTGTAGTACAAAGCATTCTACAAGAATGCTTTTGCCTTAGAATGATATTTAATAAAATTATTCAAGATATTTGGCGTACAACAGGCACGTGCGACAATGATCTTTATGTCACAAAAATAATATTTATATTCTTTGTTAATCTACCTCTTCAGGAGGTGAGTTGTGGTATTTCTTCATTCACTCCAGTGAATGAAAATGTGCTTCAAAAATAACTTTGAATAGCTTATTATTTTATTTAAGCACAAAAAAACATAGTTTCATAATATTTTCCTACTTCAGGAGGAAATTTCAATTATGTTACTTCTTCAGGAGAAACTTTAAAATACGAAATATTGAGTATATATTCTCTCAATCATATTACCTCTTCTGGAGGTGAATTGTAATATATTTACATCAAGAGCGCGTTCATATTTACGGGCTTTATTAAAATTATCACATTCACTTCAGGGAATGGATTAATATTATCAAAAGTTCTCTTCTTTCAGGAGATGGAACATAATTATCTGAACGTGCAATAACCACATTAAATTGTGATGACGTCTAACCTCTTTTAATATATTTGCTACTTCAGGAGCAAATCGAGGTATATATGTAATATAGATAAATTTTCTCTAACTTATCTTCGTTGTAATCATAGCAAGCCTAAATTATCACTTCTGGTGGTCATAGGCATATACCACTTCTGGTGGTTAACAAAATTTTGTTACAATGAGTTGTACGAAACATAACCACTTCCGGTGGTTGTATATTTCTTGCAAACTCTGCTGGAGTTTAAGTGAATCTAATAATGTTATCCATTTTGTAATCCTTTATTAAGATAATCAAAAGGAAAATAAGTACCAAAATAGCGACTGTATAAGTATTCATAGCCCCCAATCGTTTTCCACAGAAACTACTGGGGTAGTCTCGCCATCATATAATAGCTTAAGAAAAATCATCTTTTTTTTCTTTCCAATTTCACGAGATTTCATCCAAGTAAAATGACATCTACATCATTAGTTGGCTAGAAAGACGTGATTAACATACATGATAAACATATATTTAGAACAAGAAAGTTCATACTACTGGTTGAGCATATAAAATTGGAAAAAGGTAAAGTTACTGCCTTTAGTCCAAAAAAACACAAAACCCAAGTTCTAATTCTTATATTTAAAGAGGAAAATAAGAAGGAATCACCTAAGTAGAGGAGAGAGAAGGGTTCTTCTTGACAGAAATTGACAGCACTTCATCGTTAATCATAATTCATAAGGTTTTGACTAGTCATTAACGCTCCGTTTGGAACTTTAAGAATCAAATCCCCTTTCCTAATATCACGAGCTGCTGCTAAACCTCTCATTGGATACTTTCAAAGATTTGCTCGATATGACAGAGTCTCGTGCTGATAACGTGTTATAAAATAAAGATTGTAAAGTAAAGACAAATAGA